GTTCTTGAGGTAAACTGCCGTTGCACTCCCTCTAATTTAAGCTTGTCATTTTGTCTGAGTCCGCTAAGAATAAACGGGCAGTATTCTAAGATAGGTCGTACACATACTTTGTATAATAAAACCCTAGATTCACAACAAAAGAAATTGCGTGCTATGCATCCTATCAGCCTACGCGTTTTACGTCTGGCGTAATCAGTCTGTTCAGCGAACGTTAGGTTACTAGAGTATCTAATACCGAGATCTACGACTGAGTTGAGCTTAGGTAGTTTTCGCCCATTTATTTCAAGAGTTAGATCAAGATTACTGTTGCCGATACAAATCCAGTCGCATTTGTCAATGTTAAAGTTTAGACAGGATTCAGCACACCATGTTGCGTGACTACTCAGTTCAAGATGTATTTTAGTAACCATATCGCTTAATTCATGAGTGTAGCAGGAGTAGACGACTTTGAGGTCGTCAGCATATAGGAATGGTTTACCTGAGGTGAAGCACTTGCAAATGCTGTTAATGTAGATTGTGAATAAAAGTGGACCTAGGACACTACCTTGCACGACTCCACTTGAGATCTGCCTAGGATGAGACAATACAGATCCAACTTTGGTTATTTGTACCCTGTTGCTTAGAAATGATTTCAACCAGTTCAGTAATGGGTTGCGAATTCCACAAGAGTACAGCTTCTCAAAGAGAATACTGTGAGATACCATGTCGAATGCCCTAGATATATCGAGGTAGAGAACAACGACTAGCTTACGTGCTTCGCGACTACTAGTGATGCAGTTGAAAAAGTCGAAGTGGCAAGTAACGCAGGATCTATTTTTGAGAAATCCGTGTTGAGACCTTGTAACAAGATCCTCCCTAATTAGGTAGTCTGACAATTGATCTTTTACAACTTTCTCCATGATTCGTGAGATAACTGGGGTTATATTTATGGGTCTGTAATTGCGGACGTTTGCCCTATCACCAGATTTGTAATGTGGAATTATGAAGCTAGTTTTCCACTCACTAGGGTAAGTGCCAGTGTCCATAGATATTGAGAAGAATTTAAGAAGTAACAGGGGTATATCACACCCACTGTTTTTGAAAATTATCGAAGCGAGGCCATCCGGTCCCGTACTAGTGGAAGGTTTAAGGCTTTTAATTGCTTGTACTATTAGTTGATTAGTGAACGCAATGCTTTCAAGGGAAGAGATAGTAAGGGGAGCGGTTTCACCAGGCATATGTGTTTCTAAACTAAAGTTTGCAAACCAATCACTGAACAGTTCACAGATAGTGGCAGGTTCATTGTAGATTACTTTGTCGTGAAGTAAGTATGGGATTTCCCTCGCCGACTGCATTCGTCTTTTAAGAAGTGCCGTTAAGTTATAAACTTTGGAGGTACTTTCAAGTGCCGTTAACTCTTCGTTGAGGTCCTTTTGAGAGCGTAGGCGCTTGATAGATTCAAGAGACTCGTGGATTGAGAGCAATAGTGATATGTCCTTAGTGGAATAGTACTGTTTCTTCAGTTTCCTTAACTTATTACGGTGTGCCCTTGGAATATATTCAGTCCGGTGTCTACTTAATTTCGCTATTTTCTTTGGAGCAACTGTATCTAGACAAAGGGTAACATTCCTGTCAAATAGGGTTACTACGGCCTCCAGGGAGTCAGTGGTAAAATAGTCATCCCACTGACAGAGTCGAATAAGTTCTTGGACTAGTCCCTAGTCTGTATATTTGTAACTACGACATATTGTGCTTCATGAATCTTGTTTGTTTCCTGTATTTAGTGGTGAGAAAGGCAGAGAGCAGAGTACCATTCTATGGTCACTACTGGAAAATCTATTACCAACATAAGTGGATACTGGGATTGTGTCATGACAAAACACAAGGTCCAACATGTTGTCACCACGAGTAGGTGTCTGGACGTGTTGTTGCCATCCATAACAGTCTATAGTGGCAAGTAATTCGTCGAAGCGTTGGGGGCCGGAACTAGTTAGCCAATTGACTTCTGGAAGATTGAAGTCCCCTGCAATTATTTTGTAATTAGCACTAAACGAGGATGCATGTGCAAACGATTTAGCTAATAACGCATCAGTTTCTTTTGTTGCGCTTAGTGCTCGATAAACACAGCCTATGAGAAGTTTGTACTTATTTCCATGTAAGACAACCCAGAGTGAGTCAGGTACATTATTCATTATTTCATCTTCCACCTTACTGACTACAAATGAGTTATGTATATATATGAGACATCCTCCACCACGCTTGCAATCTCTGTTTGCACGGTGTACAGTGTAATCATCGATACCTATATGCACATCAAGTACAGAGGATGAGCACCATGACTCAGTAATCAGAGCTACAGTAGGCTTGGCGATTAATAATAATGTCCTTAGTTCAGATATCTTATTGATTAAGGAACGTGCATTAATTAGCAATATCGTGAATAAGTCACGGGATACTACAAACTGGTTTAAAATGTCACCATAACCTAAATCTATTTGTGCGTCAGCACCGCAAGAGTTTATGAATGAAAGGGAAGTCGGACTGGGTGTCTGTACATCGGGGTTGGTGTGCAATGAGGTGGTCCTAGGTGCCATGGGTCGTACCAGTGATTCGGGACGCCTGGAAAATTTACCATGTGTTCCAGGATATAAGGGTAGTAGAGGTTGGGCCTAGGTTGACGGTTAAAAAGCATAGCATCAAAAGGTGTACCCATCCAACTGCTATTCGTCATACGGTACACACATCACGAGAAGATAAAAAGACAACAAGGTCAAAAATAATTGCTGACAGTTGCCGCCTGGATGCGAGATGGTTGTTAACATACCTCTACTGAGGTCTTAGCTCATCTTGTGTGTGCCGAAAAATGAGCGTTTGTCTGCTCAGTGATATTTCGCGTGTTAAGAATATAGTAAATGTGTGAGAAATATGAGAACGCTGGTAAAAGCCCAACGGCAAGGGACAGTGCACGAACGAAGACGGTGGTCAGTACGTCCAACCGAAGATGGGAAGGGAATATGTAGGCGGAAACTGAAGTAAAACGTAAACAAATCTATCTGTAGGGAGCTTGTGCCGAAGGGCTGCTTTCAGGTAGAAAGGCGTAGTGTAAGTGTATTGAATCTGTGACGAGTAAGATGGTGATCGTGGGTAACTTAGCGGTCGAAATCCGGCGGATAATGCATGCTATGGAGAACGGAAGGTTGTCTCTTACTGCAGGGCTAACAGTCTGCGGCCAGCAACGGCTGCAACTCAAGGCCAACGAAGAGAACTTGCAGTCAGTATTTTCATATGACGTCGATTTGTCCAACGACTAAATCCAATGTATCCTAGTCTGAATGTGAAACGCCAACATAATATGGCGGGTTCTTCTGTATGGTTTGCCAAACTTTCACGAGTCACGCATAACAAAAATTTTATTCCATTCTCATCAAAACAACATTTAACGTAATAAAATTCATGGTACTATCAGGCGTCAACGGGTTATAATAGTATATTCTCATTTTTTGTACATGAGGGACGCCAGCTTACAGGCGTCATCAAAAAGTGCCTCAAAAGTGCTTTTAGGCAACTGCGCGGTCCAAGGGTTCTCCGGTGCAGACATGGCCAGAGAGTCAATAAGAATATTTCAACAAAAAGGATCAAAATTGGTTCAGGAAAAAACCAAGTGGAACGAAATGTGTTTCCTGCAGAGTGTTCAGTACTAGCCGTTACTCTGCAGTTAGATGAACAAATACTAAAAACAGAGAAACAACACGTTGCTCTCAATATTCAAATACCACAGAATGGTTAAGTCAAAAGAAGGCCTGCAGATGCTAGAATTTTGATTCACTGGCCACAGGCAAGTAATAATCACTGCAAATTTAGTTGAAGTACTGAAGTAAATATCAGTGCATTGGATAGATTATACACAAAGGAGTTTCAGGTCGACTATCCTCCTGAAAATGGCTTTAAATATATTTTTGGATTTTTGAACGAACTACCGAAATGAATGCAAAGTTAAGATTTCATCTATTCTTCCACCTATTGCGTTTATGCTACAATGGCTCATTAATGCCGATACTTGGATTTCATTCAGTAAAATACCGAGGCAATATTTTCAACTATCAAACAGTGGGTTCAGTTCACAATCGAAGGCGCTAATATTCATACGTTTTTAATAGCAACATGTGTTTCCGGTAGCTTTGTAGGATTTTCAAGGATCGTATAACTACAAGGCCCACTACTATTATCGCACTATGTGCAGTCAAATTTTAGGAAAACCGTGTCACTGTTGAAAACTAGAAGTCAAAATGTAAGGCACCTCTGTGTTACGGTATCACATCGTATGATTTCCTGAAGCGAGCAGTGTACTTTGTGCAGTCTAACCCTGTTAGAGATCATACATGTTGGTAGTTATTGCAGCAAACACTCGTTGACCCTATCCTTAAAATCGGCATCCTGAGAAACAGACACTGCTGATATGGGGTAAAAAAAATAAGACAGCAACCAACGACCTAGAATAAACAATATCTGACGACCGTTCACCTGCTCGAAGCTGTCAGTCTTCATAAGAATATGAGCGAAAACTTCTTATCGACGAAGCAGTCTGAGTAAATGTATATGTACATGTTATGAATGTTCAAACTGATCCAATTTCCTACATCCAATGATATTAAATCTGTGGACGCTAAAGCGTTGATAATTTGTGCTATCACAGGGCCATTCGCGAAGATACGTTTCATACTTGATCTGAATTTCGATATGAGTAATTTCTGATTCCAAAAGAAACTGTAACAAATCGCGTAAAACTCTGAAAAAAGTGAGAATGACTCGCTCTCCTGAAGAATTACTTATTGTTTTTTATTCTTTCCAGCTATACAAAATTTCTAAACAAGCTGAAAAATTAGACAGCGATATGCAGTTTAGAGCTGGTTTTTCCAATAAGGAAACTGATATTACATTGGGGAAGTAAAATTTGTTAGAATCACACTGGTAAATGTCAGTCCAATTTTTCTTCTTTCCGTTGTTAATTGTCAGGGTGTAATGTACTTTTCCGCGCGTTTCGTAACTTCCGCTGATTTCGAAAAGTAGGTTTGCAAGTCCGTAGTTCTGTTAAATATTGTCACATTCAAGGTCTGAATCGTGTATAATTTCGCACGACTGTATACACTGCTGCTGCTCTCACTCTGTACAGCTGTTTCTGCTCTATAAATTGGATTTATATGTAGAGACTAGTTTAACATATGTAAAAATTGTCATACAGAAATATAGACCAGTAGGCGCCGACCCACTTATAAGCCACTCAGGACCTTACTATCGCCATTTTCATAATCAAGTATGTATAGTTGTAGTAACGTCTATAACAAGTATACATCAGTGCAGTGATATGTAGTTGTCACAATTGTACCGTTAATGGTGATAGGTAAAATGAGTATGTGGCAACAGTGAGGAATAGACACAAACTTCAGACGACCTTGAAAGAACTACTCAGGTTCTACGTGAATAGTTGGTATTTAATCCAAAAAAATGTATTCATAATATGTTACAAAAATGAATTATACGGGTGTGTATCCCTAATATGCTGTAACTCATAGCAGCGTTTGCAGACATATAAAACTAGTGTCGATACAAAAATTCATCTAAGTGGCTATTTATCATATTTTACTGAGGGAGAGTTTCGATTCCAAGTGGAAGGTAACTAAAAGATCATGATTTACGACTAACCAACCCTTACAGTCTTACTCATCTAACAGTGGTTGTACCTAAATGTATGACCATCGAAATCCCTCTACTTTTGCAGTCATTGTCCATCCACATATCGAGTTTTTAGCCCTCCCTATCAATCTATTTTCAACACAGAAGTCAAAAACTAAATCTAGGTGAAACTTGCAAGGATTATTATGAATAACCTTCATTTGTAATGCTGAGCGATCTGACTAAAGGTCGTTTGACTTTGGTGTCTGTTGTTTACTCTTACCGAGTTTGCATATGCAGTGCATTCACGTATGCATATTGATGCGAATTGTTTTAGTACATCGCCTTTGAAGTCGCAAAAAGACAAAAGTTCAGTCGTTTACAAGCAGCTGTAGGAATGACCTACAAGAACTAGAGTCATGTAGTGTTGTAACAGTAGTTGTGGTAGTTAAGATGGACGTGTAACTGTATCCGTCGTTTTATCAATTCCATATGCTTGTTATTAGTATCGTGTTAGCACACTCTCCTGAGTGTTGTGGAATTAATTTTTTGTCTGTATCTAAGAGCCTGTCTGTGCCCTTCTCACTCGGTTGGCAGTACGTGTATCCGGATATAATGTTCGCCTGAGAAATGTTGATGGTTTATGAGCACGTCATATAAGGTTTTTAAAGTGTTACTTCATGCTAGTATGCCAACTGCTATGTAGCACGCTCTTTGAAGAACGAGCTTACTGTGTTTGGCTTTCGTATCATGGAAGAAGAAGGGACCTTGTTTGACTGTGGTTTGCTTCAGAACTTAAATATGTAATGATATAATTATCTTGAGACAGGTGGCAATACAGCCACGGCAAAACTCATAAATTATGAAGCTGATTGCGTAAAACCTACTCTTTTGCAAACACAAGTTTCTGACACTTCTCGCTCATGTTTTCATCAGTTGATTGATTGGTATTCTTGATCATAACATATTGAAGATCAACTGTTTTCATCGTTTCTAGTCTATCAGCTTATAGATAAATCACTTTTGTCCGTAACACACACAATGCCCTTTATAAAACGTAATTACTGTTACCACGAAAGATTTACTATAATATATCGCTATGCGCATCTAATTAACCATATTTCGATAACTGAAAATGTTAGCTGGTTGGAGTTTTGCGTGCTTCGATTAGGGTTGTGACGTATTCATGTGCTCAGTCATTGTAACTCGTTGCATGTTAAACAAAAAATTGTGTATTATTATTTTAATGCGTGAATACAATCTTTTATTCATATTCAGTGAAGAATATCATTTTAATTTCTGTTTCTACCTTCAGATAGTGTTTTCCATTCAATTGCATTGCCTCTTCTTCGTCAGTTGCGTTTGCTTAGAATGGAGTTCAGTTCCATTCCCCAGGTAAATTTGTGTGAGTTTATCAACTTTTCAGAATCCAAAAGCCGTTTCTGGTCAATTACTTAGGAAGTTTAAATCTGCAATGGATATTTCTCATGACAAACGCAAGGAAATGCAAAAAAGTACTCATGAAGCTATTGAATTAGTTGAAAAAAGGGTAGAAAAAGACCTGCATGCTGAAAGTTTGTTGCTACAGTTTCAATATTACTCTAGAAACTCGACTTTCTACATTGTTGAACGCCTTCTACTGTAAACTTGACTATTATCCAAACGACGATGTTCAAAGAAAAACAAATCAATTGGCGTCACTACTCAGTAAAATAGATTGCAGCAGTTGCTCTGAAACCAAGTATGTTTTGACTCTTTGTCTATTATGAAGGATTAAAAATGGTGTTTCTGTGTACCGCAATCACTACAACAATCTAAATTCATCAGTCGTGGCTATGGAGAAATCGTGCACTTCATTTCAGAGTTTGCTTGAAGATGTTGATAAAATGGAAAAAGATTTAGAAAGGTAATCTGGTGCTTTCTTTAAATCGAAGGCTGTGTAGCGCTAAGTTTTATTATCTATTTTTAGTCAACAATAGTATTTCGCTTTCAAATCATATCACGTCAGCATTTTTGTCGCTAGTATAGTATACCAATAACTATTTTATCTGATCACTGTATTACTGCGGCATTATGAAGGGTTAGATTGACTAATCACTAGTATTTGTTTACTAATTTATTGTACTGTGTCATTATTCACTTGTCAAAATCTTGAGTCTCCATGCATCCAATCTGTGTTAATTTAATGTACAGTTCTCCAAGAGTAGTTTGATCTCCTGGAATGAGTCGGTTCAGGTAGAGAAGTGGTGCGCCCTATCGAAAAAAATCTATCTGTCTGTTTTCGACATAGAACTTTGCACATATGTGCGGCAGTTCAAGTCGCAGGAAGACTTGTCTCCCTTCTTGTATATGGGGATAATCAGTGACTTACAGCAACCCGATGGGACTTCCTCTGACTCCCAGACACTGCCTAGTACCTCAGTTAATGCAGACAGTAAACTGTCTCCACCGCACTTAAATACCTCTGGAGTCATTCCATCAGGTTCCGCTACTTTGCCTTGTTTCAGATTAGTGACAGCTTTAGTAACCTCAGGGACGGAGAACCTGTGTCTATATCCCATTCAGGGAGGTGTCGGATGTTCGGCAGGTTGTGTGTGGCTGTGGGCCAATTAAACTGCTCCTCATAGTGTTCTTTCCAGCGTTAATCGAAAAAAATAAATGGTCACATGTTGTTGCGATCTCGTCATTATGACCTTTTCCAATCCATTGGACTCGATGCAAATTATAGTGTCTACAAAACCACAATTTTTGATTTGAGCATCCTAGTTTTCTAAGAAAGTCAAGGTACTGTCTACTTAAAATGCTAAAAATCTTCCAAAGCGTTTTTCTTAGTCGTAATAGTTATATAAGGTGAAATTATATATCACAACAGCATCATTTCAGATATTCGCACTTCGTCCACGTATAAGTCTTTATTTAAACTTCTCTCCTTTAACTTGTTCTTCAGCTCCTGGACATTTTAAGACCTTTAGGAACATAAAGGTGTTTCTTACAGTCCACCGAATGAATTTCCATCCAAGTTTGGTAAATGCATAGATCACATCCACACGTCAGTTCCTGCTTCGTATCTCCGCTTTCTTAGTGATAAGTAACATTTAACTGGAAAATAACGATAAATAATTAAAATATTTTTTCGGCGAAAGTTATTTGAGTACATTACGCATACATCATTCTGTCCCACCAGTATCGTCACGTTAAAAAAACAGTAAAGATAAGTTTTCTTTAAAGAATAGACATCTGTCGACTTCACTTGTGCGTCGGTGGCACAGTGGTTAGGACTCTCGCCGACCATGCACATGGTCCGGGGTTCGAGCCCACGCCGGCGCACACCTGATATCTATGGTCGGCCTGCAAAATTTGGGCTACCGATATCCATGCTGAAAATTCCATACTTGTACCAAAAATACAGTGTGGAATCAAGCTGTAAATCAAAAAAAAGTCTGGAATAATAAACAAGAGTAGGCATCATTGATGATTATTTCTAGGGGCTTTTTGTCGAAATAGATTCTTATACTTCAGATTCAAATATTTAATCTAGAAAACAATCCCAACGGCTAAATTACAAGGAAATCAATGGTCAAATTCTATCTAAGAAATTGTACTTTGCTAAAAAACAATATATGGCTTTCCATACCATATTGTGTCCGTCAAGGATACCCACTACCCCCATTTCTATTCAATTTCATCATAGATGTACTAATGGATTTAACCCTAACTCACTTCAGCCACTCAGGGATTGACTTGTTACCACCACGGAATAATCTCGTTGACTTAGAATATGCAGACGATATAGTCCTTCTAGGCGAGGACGCTGACAAAATACAGCAGAGTCTTCCGAACCCCTTGAGCTGCAATCTACGAATGTTTATCATGCGATTCGCTCCCTCTGTGAAATGTAAGATGATGTTACACGACTGGACTACACCGACTCCTAGATTAGAAATAGGAAGTGAATTGGTAGAGCACGTTGACTGCTTCGCTTATTTGGGAAGTACCATCAGCCAACGCCAACGGGCTCATCTCTGACGAAATCTCAGCACGGATACCGAGGGCTAGTTTTGGATATGCCAGTTTACACCGTCTCTGGCGTAGACGTGATATCCGACTATCGACCAAAGGGCGGGTGTACTGCTCATCAGTCCTCTCCGTCCTCCTTTATGGCTGGCTAGCTGTGAGACCTGGCCACTGAGAGTGGAAGACATGAAAAGACTAGCTGTCTTTGATGATAGGTGCCTGCGTTCTATTTCCCGTGTGAAGTGGTATAATAAGGTGAGCAATATTGAGCTTAGGGGAAATCAATCGACGAGGCTGCGAAGCTACATCAACTGATATGGTTAGGACATGTGTTACGTATGCCTAGTCATCTCCTTCCTCGACAGAGGGCGATGTTAGCTGATATAGGGTCGGGCTGGAAAAGAGCTAGAGGCGTTCAAACCAAAACATAGCACCAGTCAATGAAATCTACAACAGTTAGTCTAAGCCACGTAGGAAGGTGTAGACTTCCTGACTGACTGGTTGGGGTCCTCGAGACGGTAAAAACCAATGGTTGGAAACAATTGGTGACATGGCTAAAAATCGTTGTCAGTGGCTGACGCAGATGCATCCACTCCTTGTGACTTATGATTTCCAATGAAACTGTTTTGTTCTTCGTTATTACTATTCCTTTGTCTCACACCTCTGTTTACTGTCTCTAATATGCATTTCTTCTGCTTTCTTCTCTTGCTTTGTATGCTACATGTAGGGAGTGTGGCGACTTGAAGTTCCGCACATTTGTTCAGAGTTCTATGTCGAAAACAGACAGACAGATACCATATTGTAACCGACCATCTCCTACTCTAGCTCTGCTAATGTGATATGTTACTTTTCCTTACGCTGGTATATTTAAAGAGGTGATTTTCCTACTCATGATATCCTAGCATCAAGCCTGTTATATGTTCATTTATTATTATTCCCTTGGGTTCCTAGTGTAGCATAGGGCTTCAACATCATATTTTCACTTTGTGCTGTCTTCTGCAGTCCTCTTTGAGTGGCTCCACGATTGTCCATAGGCTGTCATATCCTCCTCACACGAGTTAATGTGTTTATTTGCAAAAGTATTAACAGGTTGGTGTAGCCATCCCCCCACTCTTCCCATTAAGAGCTTTCGGTGCCTTTTGAAATGTAACAAAGTCTTTCTTAGGTAGCTGAGGAAAGATCAAGGGGGCGGGGAGCAATAAAGCAGAATAACTAGAATAGAATAATTAACCAGCTGTAAAGGTAGAAATTAAGTGATATCAGATTATCTTAACTTCCCTACATAGAACGTTGAACGAAATATCTTTCTGTAAACTAACATGATGCAAGAAGACCAGGAAAGGTGATCAGAGGAAATACACTATCCAAGATAGTTAACATTCGACTTAGTTTCAACTTCAGTGTCATCTGTAATACTAGAATCATCCAAACTAACCAGTTCATGCAAGTGCCACTTGCAGCACTTGCGTCTAAAAGTAAAATTAATCATCTGATATTCTGAAGGATTTTAAGCTTAAAACCATTTGACAAGGACCGCTGACTAATTTCTGATATGAATTTATTCATTTTGAAACAGTCTCACTGAGAAGTATACGATCGGCATAAAAACAGTCTGATGGTCATCGGCATACTTAACAAAATCGGCTTTATCAAACTGGGACAAGTTATGTGAAAGAAATAAAACCGAAATGGGAGTAAGAACAGCACCTTAAGAAACACCGGTTAGAGCAAGCAAAGCAGTTGAAGACTTCGCGTTATATATGTAGTGTACTTGCTTTCTATCATCAGAAACGTAAGAATGCAGTCATTTATTCATCCAACACCCTGCTTGTGTTGCAGCCCGGGCTGGTCTGACAAAAGAAGCTTAGGTAAAGAGTCAAAGGCACCTATGTCTAAACTAGGGGTCAGTGCTACTATACGGATCAGAGACTTGGCCAGCGCTTTATAAAGAGCATCTCAAACAAACTTCAGACCTTCATTAACAGTTGTCTTCGCTCAATACTCAAGATCAGATGGCCACTCAGAAAAGATCAGCAACAGGTTCTCTGGCAATGAGCGAACCAACCAGGAACCGATTGTGCAACAAATAGGCAGGAAGAAATGGAGATGGATTGGCCATACACTGAGGAAACCATCAAGTGACATCACTTGACACGCCCTCGAGTGGAACCCGAAAGGGAAGCGGGGAGTTGGTCGTCAGTGCAAGGGTGACTTGGAGGAGGTCATGTGAGGAGGAGATGAAAGAATGTGGGCAGACTTGGAGCAGGATGAAAACGTTGGCAGAAAACAGAAGGCAATGGAGACGCGCAGCTGAAGCCCTATGTTCCTCAAGGAATTAAAGGATATAATAATAATATTATAATAATAATAGCGTCATCTAAAGTACACCTACTACATTTATAAGCATATTGTTCAGGGTCATTAAAAAGCCTTCAGTGAAGGTCCAAGGTTAAGTGAAAACAGTTTTACCATTACCATTTTCCGAAAAATAGGTGAGGGAACAGTAATAGGTCTAGAAAATCTCTGGAATGTCATTAACCTTAACATTATGCATGGCTTACTGTAAAAAGTGATAGACGATTACTTAATTAAATAAATAAATAAAATAGATTTATTCGTTTGACTTTTATTTTTTTTTTAAAACGACATTTTAATTGTAGATTTTCAAAGGAGTATCGTCTATCATCAGATGGTATGAAATCAGAAATGCGTTCTCTACAAGGGATTAAAAAAAGGCATACAAAAATGTCAAAATCTTTGTCACAACAAAATAAATCTCTAACCGTAAGAACCCTTATCATTATTATTGTTCATTCTTTTTTTGCTTTATAGAAGTCTATAGCATCAACTGGAAGAGTAATTGATCATCGTGTCCTAGTTGCCTGGTCCAAGGTATGTGTGTCTGTGTGTGCATTGTGTTTCACTCACAATAACACTTTTATTTAGGAAATTAAAGAATTAAAAGAACGCAGAGCACACCTATCTGAACGTGTTGACCAGTATATGGGCATTTCTGTGGTAAATACTTTTCTTTTCCTTTTGTTTTTTGTGTTTTTTTGTTTTGCACATTTTCATCATTTTACTCTAAATCTCTAATCTAATCAAATCACACTGGGTTGTTTCTTTCTTTCGTTAGGATACTGCAACAGCTAAGAAACAATTGAATGATGTACTCTCTGAATTGGTATGTCTCAATTGGTGGTTGAGTAATTAATGTTAATTGATTTTGTTTTATTTGTTTTGTTTAGGAATCCATAGATTCACAAATGTTAAAAATAATGGGATTGAATGCATGGAATTGAAGTAGGCAATTATAAATGTGTACAACACCCCTCGCCCTCTCCCCTTCCCCGTCCCCCTAATGATGTGATCAGCAGACTTCTTCTTATCTGAGCATTTGAGAAAATTCATCAATGTTGATCCTTTTTTTGGAACAATACTCATTTTGGTCAGATTACATTTGATGATGATGATGATGACGGTGATGATTGTAGCAACAGATTTTTTCAATATGCAATTTCATTTTAGTCAATGTCAATCAACACTCAGTCTTTTTGCTATGCATACAGTGTCTAGTTTTTTGCTAAGGCGGTGTGGTGTTTGCTTTAAAATGATCTATTTTGTGTTTATTAGGACGTATATATGTGAAGTTACTAGAGGCGAAAAAAAACAAACAAAACAATAACAGCTTGGGATAAGAGGAAGATGGGTACTTGGCAGTGTATTTCATTCAAAAAGAGCTATCTTGGCTACGGAATTTCATCATGACCTGACATCGGTTAGAGAAGCATTGGAAAACCTGGGAGTACTGGACTCGGAATCTTCATTGGTACGCACCCTGTGCCACGCTTCAAACCCAGGACCTATCGGTAACAAGGCTAGCCAGCTCGAAGACCATTAAGCCAGCCACTGAGACCCGACACCTCACTGGCCAGCCCATGAATTCCAACTTCTTCCAGTTCACGATATATAGCGTGACTGACACTAACCAATGTCATCCGTGACGAATATTTGTCGTGACACCCGACCTGCTGTACTTTACTGGGGTTCACGAACATATATCTTGCAGACTGTCACTGACGAATAATCGCCATCCAGATATTCACTAAGCTGTATAATCGCATCTATATATACAATCATTTTTTCATGAAAGAGGAGAGTGAAAAAAGTGCTGAGTTGTCGTAATCATAATTGTTAGTATTAGATAGTGCATAAGAGGAATTAAGTGAGGGTATTCGAGTTACGTAATAAGGTGAGTAATTTAATGAATGAGTTGTTGAGACAGAACAGTGTTGACAAGGTGTTCAGTTATGTCATTCCTTATAGAGCCACTGTTACCTTTCTGTAACGATGGGCGACAGTGTTCTTGAATGCTATTAGACAGGGTCTGCGTTGAACGACCACTATACTACCTGGCTCCACAAGAACAGGCGAACTGATATCGACAGATCGAAGTGGTTAGATGTAGGATCTCGTCCTTTAGGCTTCTGCAGACCAGTGGGTGACTGGAGAACACTAGTCTCAGTGTCTCTTTGAAGAGTGTTCTTGCTGAAGAAGCCGAAATTCTCCTCTTTAGGACATCCCTGAGTAGGTCATCTTTTAAGTCAAGGTTCATGTAAAGTTTCTTTTTTGTCACGAGTGACGTCTCTTGTCTTTGAATTTTTGGCTTGATGTTCTTGTCAATAAATATTGGTGAATATCGGTCTTGCATTCAAATTTCTTTCAAAAGTGTAATTCTTCTTCCAGAGCATGGGCGCTGGAGATGCGTCGTCGGACGCGAGTAGCAAGGTATATCATTAAGTTTCGTTTACGACCAATTCTTAAAGAGCCGCAGAAACTTGTCAGCTAGCCGTTCCATGTGGGTTTCCGACATGATGGACCTTCTGACAGTTCTGCTGGTTCTTCTTGTTAGTTCAACATCAAGAAACGGAGTTTTAGATTCATTTTCTATTTCAAGAGTCAACTTTGTTTCTGGATGTCAGTGATGTTGAACCACTGTAACAGTTGGTTAAGACCATGACTATCCTCACAGATAATAAAGATGTTATCCATGTATCTACTTGCATACATGTGAAAATTACCATCAGTTGACCTAAGTGGACCATTCTGGAGGCTTGTCATGAAACAGTCTACTAGCGATGAAGTCAGGAGACACCCCGTTACAATCCCATCTTTTTATCTGTAAATAACATCGTTAAACGTAAATTTCCTATTAAGGGTGGATCTGAGTAGTAGTTCCTTTAAACAAACTGTTGGTAATCCCATGTTTAGCTGGTTTTCATCTACATATTGACAAATATGACAGACAGTTTCCGTGAGTGGAACGTTGGTAAATAGTGGTTTAGTGTCTTTTTGTTCGATACGTTGATATCTTGTATACAGTCAACGAATTTAAATGTATCACACGAAACGAATGGTTGCACATCTGTTTCCTTACAGGTTCTAAAATATCAGCTAACCTTTTCGCATTTGAATGGTTTGGGGAAGCTGGAAGTCTAGAGTTGGACGCAGTGGAAGACCGGCTTTGTGTGTATCTTTGGTAAACCATGTAATCTAGGTGTATTAATGGTCCTGTTGGTCGAATGTGATCATAGAAAATTTATGATAACATTTGACCAACTTGTTTGATAAGTCACTATAACATTTGCTTTACGGCCAACAACTTCAGTCATCATATACTGTTTTAAAGCTATAGTATATGTATGTGTAAATTCTTGTTGATCTCCATTTCTATTTTATTATAATATTATTGTCTTGAGCTTCTATTGGAACAAGGGGCTTGCTTCATCAGCCCATTTCCACTTTACTCTCTTCTCTTGTGTTGAGAGCTAGCTACTAGCCAAAATTGGTAGACAGTATTTTACGTCAATGTTTATGTCCCCAATATTGGTCGTGAGAAAAATGAGAACAAAGGCTTTGCGTAGGCGGATGCAGTTAACATATAGATGATCTGACATTCAAGAAACAGCCACAAAGAGATGCAAGGTTAACTTTCTGTGAAAAACAAACAATCAGAAGACTGTGTTTTTCTGCTAACAATAATCTATAATTAATGTACATGAAAATCTATAAATATGTGTTGATTTCCTGAATATAAACGATATATTGCCTGGCCCTTGTCTTCTGTTGTTACACTCTGTGTTCATGTTTTTAGCTGGCTCCACGATTACCCATAAGCTTTCAACTCCTCCGTGGCACTCTCGGGAGCCCAACTCGTCGTTTCCACTCGAGGTTATGCCTGCCGTGCAATCTCGCCTCACGGTCTCCTCAGCGTGCGTCTGATCCATCTTCATTTTCTTCAATTTATTTCTTGAGCAATAGGTGCTTGGTTGGTTCATTCCCGGAGTTTCTCGTTGCTAATTCTTTATGACTGGATATTTGATCTTCATTATGATGGAGTCAGCGAAGAGAGATGTTGATAAAGGTCGTCAGCCTTGCCTAGTTAACTAGTTTTCTAGTCGCTTCTAAGCCCAGGTAAAGGGGGTAGGTTGGGTGTTGGGCTAGTGACCTTACTCTGGAATTCAATCCAATCCTTACAGAAACGTGAAGGCACAACAGAAAAAATTCCATCTCATCCGTTATGTATCTGTGAAGGCATGTTTAGTTAAGTGTCTAACAAATCGAGCAATAGCACTTAGTAATACAACAAAAGACTTAAATGATGAAATGAAGCAGAGAGAATAAGAAGCGTTGGTGTTAAATAACTACCCCATAAAATACATTAGGAATATCAGAAAAGGCAAAGTAAAAATAAAAACTAATGGTGAGATTAATAATGATAATATAAATAAGAAAGAATATAAGACATCTAAAGTAGTTTTACCATATAAGGAGGGGACATCTGAGACTCTACGTAGGATTTACAATAAAGCAGGAATTAGGGTGGCATTCAAACCTACAAATTCAGTCAGAGATAAACTCTGTAGGCTAAAAGAACCGGTGGACCCAATTAAACAAAATTTGGAGTTATGTGACCAATTCATCTCTTCCTACCCATTGTTGACTTATGTTTTCGTAGTATTCTTATTAACTGTCACACCTTTAGTCAAATAGACCAGCCATCTGTACATAGCTGAAGCGTTAGCTATTCGTGATGTGAAACCGGACCTCTGCATTCAAAAGCGACACATACATTCACTCACCCTACCGTTGCCAGAGCAAAGTTCTTACTATAATTATGATTTTTCTTTTTTATTGTGTAAGTTTACTATTATTTTATTATCATTATTATTCCCATCATCCTTATTTCATTACCACTCTATGACTGTTTATTAATAACATTGCTTTTTCTTACAGATTTTATATGTCGTCTTTCCACTGATTCCTGTCCATTCTACACTAGCTTATTGATTAGTCATTATCTCACACCTATTACTTCATGCCAACTTCTGCCTCTTTTCTAACTTACAATTAGCCATCCCTTCTAGGTTTCACCTTACATTACGTAATGCATCTTCCGAGGACAAAGTTTACCAGTATCTGATAGGTCTTATGATTTCTCCCTCAAATATAATTACGATTGTACAGCAGCTTATGAAAACGAATTGTCGAAAGTAAAAATATTTTCTTCCCTGTCTACGCCTTTTTTTTGTGCAATCATATTATATTTAATTCGCCGACAAGTGTGTAGCCGTCACAATACAAATGCTTTGTGAAACATACTCATTTGCTCATTGGTGAGTGTCAATATACCAACATTGAGTGCAATCACCTAATTGTTCCCTCTGTCCACAGACCTTAGAGTGCTATTTTTCAGTACTAACCACAGCAGTTAGGCATGCAGTGCTTTCTTCAGCACTAAAGGCATTATTTCAGATGCTAGTCTTATTTTTAAAGGTTTTGTCGCATTAATTAAGCACTCAGCGCTCTTTTCAAGCACAACCAACGTTATTTCAGTACATAGTAGGCAGATAAAATATTCATTTAGCATAGAAAGGCGGCATTATCAACGCATAGGTTAGAATAGGTTTAGAAGTGTTGTAAGCTTGGGAAGCCATTGCTTCTCCGAGTGATGAAGTCAAGGACTATAAAAACTAGAATTTTTGAAATCCAGTAGCGATATTATGTAGAATTAGATTTCTCTATACAAACTTGTAGATCTTAGTTCTTTAGCATAATCTAAAAAGGTTTATTACTTCAGAGCATACATCGCTCAGATTGTATCTGCGAATAATCATCTACTTAACTCCGTAGTCAGTAGTATGAATGCTTCAAGTAACATATCAAATATTAACTGAAATGTCTACAGAATATTACGGTACTTACTGATCTCTATACAACGTAGAAGTGCAGTACGGAAGAGCTTCGATTTATACACTTTAACTTGACGGAAGCTTAAGAAAGTCAGTTCATAAGAAAATCACTTGGTATAGGTTGGCTAGCGAGTTTTTTGGTTGGGGATGTCGGGATTCTAAGAATCGATGGCTGGTAACAACTGGTGGTATGTCTCGAAATCGTTCTTAGTAGCTCAGAAGCAAACACTCTTTGTGATTTCTCATATCTATTAAACCCTCTTGTTTTTCCGTGTTACTATTATTTCTACCTCACATTTTTATTGGTTATCACTCTTGCGAATCTCTTTTGTCTTCCTTTGTTTCATACAGCCAGTTTCTTTTCTTAGTTTGTATAAAGAAAGAACGAACATAT